AGGGCCACGGGACCATGGGGCAGAAAAGAGCACCAGGTGCCAGGAGAAAGGAAGCAGGGCCACGGGACCATGGGGCAGAAAAGAGCACCAGGTGCAAAAAAAAAAAAAAAACCACCAACCACAGAAGACAAGAATCTTATCGGCCAAATCAGCAGCTCGGACTCATAGCAATTTCATACAGGGGTTTCCAAGGGCAGCTGGTGGGTTTGAACCGCCAGCCTTGCAGTTCGCAGCACTGATCCTATAACACCACACCAGGAGTCCAAACCACCAAGCCGAATCAGGGTCTCAGAAAGTAGGACCAGCCACAGAGAAAACAGACAGCAGTGACGCACCATCTTCGAGAAGCCTGCGCCCCCCCTTCACTAAAAATCAGATAAATATTCCTCTCTTTTATTGCGATGGAATCAGTGGCAGGCGGCATCAGTCCTGCCCCTGCGTCCTTAATCCACGCTCCCAATTCCACAGTCTTCTCCCTCGGAAGGACACTTCCTCTTTGCACTAAGTGGGACCGTGTGCAGGATTAGGAAGCCAGGGAGAACGCAACACCAGGACCAAATGTGGGACTTTGCTAGAACCTTTCTGTGCCCCTCCCAGGCAGGGAAGGACTCAACACCAGAGACACAGGCAGCACCTCACACGGAGCCCCGCTGGGATTGGGCAGAGGGCTCCGGATTCACGAGCTTCCGAAACCGGCCTTATGGTTATCTGGAGTCCATGGGCGCCAAGGGGCAAACACGCAACTGGCAGGGAGCTCACGGGCATCAGCGTCCCATTGCCAACTCTCAGCCAGGCCGGCCGGGTGGGCAGACTAAAGAACAGACTCTAGCCCTCACACTCCAGGCAGGACAGACAGACACATGGGTTCAGAATTCAGCTTTATGACTCTAGGTGGGGAAAACCATGGCATCCTCACAACACTGCTGATGCAGGACAGCTGTCACTCAGCACTGAGGCCCCTCCCCTCAGTGTAGATGCAGGAGGACAGCTGTCACTCAACACCACGGCCCCTCGCCTTCCTGTGGATGCAGGACAGCTGTCACTCAGCACTGAGGCCCCTCCCCTTCCTGTAGATGCAGGAGGACAGCTGTCACTCAGCACTGAAGCCCCTCTTTGCTTAGGGGTGGGGTTCCCTTCTGACTGAAAAACCACTTCTGGGGCCCAGGGCTGTTTGAGGGGACCATGACCAGGAGAGGAAGCCAACGGTGTGATTTGTGGACTATACAGTGGCCGTGGCTCTGGTCATGTCCCAGGCGGGGACAGGGCAGGGACGGGACATCCCGGGACATGGCCGCAATACCTTTCTGGGACTCGTGGAGCTGCACCTTCTCCTGGTGATCCCAGCCAAGCGCACATCTGTCTTGTCTGTCTGTCTGCACACCAAACTTTCCTCCAAATCCTTTGACATAGTCTATGTGCACAATAAAAGGTTACAAACGTGGTTATGTCTGCTACGTAAATTCAAAGGGACTTCGAAAATTCATGAACACTGGAAAGAAAACGGTGTCCGTCTGTGGCGGGAAAGCCACAGCACCTTGTGTAACAGGCCACGGAAGCGTGGCGGGACCCCTCTAGAGCCCCATCTTATACAGTTGGTGGGATCCCCCCTTTGCCCTCCAGGTCTTTGGGTCATATTGGTGGAGCTACCAAAAACCACCATGGTCTGTGGGAGCAATCAAGGGTCAGGCAGAGACAGGGCAGCCAGCGGTCAGCAGCGTGGACGCCACGCAGTTTCTAGAAGCGCTTGCAGGCACCACGGTCACCACACACACATGTACAACACACACACACATACGTGTAACACGGGGCTGGTGGTTGGGCCAGGCTGGTCCAAGAGTAAGCCCACTGACACTTAACCACTGTGTGTTTCTGACTGGCTGAACGCGGACACGCTCAGGAACCAGAAGCTTGGCCTCCAGGCAGTCTGCTAGGAGGCTCATCTCCCCAGACTTCCCAGCACACCAAACCCACAGGCTCAGGAGCGGATGTAGAACAAGATAAACTAGGAGGCACCTTTCTGTGACTCATGCTTCTCCGTCTTGCCTTGGTACTCGAAGCCCACGGCGCTCTTATCCACTTTGTCCTTGTCGATCCCATACTTGCCGCCAAAACCTTTGGAGTAATCTAGAAAGAAGCAGAGAACTGTGGACACGCCAGCCCACCACTGGCCAACCTGCTGCCAGTCCTACAGGTCCGCCAGGAAAGACCCTCAGTGCTTGCTCAAAAAAGAGCCAGGAAAACCCAAAGCTCTTGGGCTCACTGCCGGGTCCCAAGTGGTATGAACAGCAGCATACGGCCATCGCGTTACTAACGCTGCCGTCCTTCCGCCCAGCCCAGCCCCAAAGCCAAACAGGTAGCAGTCAGCAGTGATGGGTGTGCACCAAGCCCCCTGCAGCACTGGCTGAGGGGCGTGGGGGGACGTCAGAGACACAGGGATATGGAGTAGCTTCCAAAAGGTCACTTCTGCTCAGAGCTAAGCCCCTCTAGGATTAGATTTGTCCAGCATGTGTGTCTACACTTAAAGGAAAGACGTGTGAAGCTGGATCGGAAACAAGTAACTCAGGAGACAGTGGGATGAGTGATTAGACGTTGAGCGAACTGCGACCTTTGAGCTGATTTGTTGAACATGAAACAGGAACTGCTCTGCCAACCTTCACTCACTTCACGGAGTGTCATCAAACAAGGAACAGCGTAGACAATGTAACAGTGGTGTGTGGGAGGGGGTGAGTCCCTTACGGGTGTCAGCTTGTCAGTGTCAGAGACAAGCTGGAAAAGTGCGCCCCGGTGCCACAGGCTCCCTGGGGGTGCAGAAGGGCGGGGAAGCAAAGACGGACCTCAGGTACAGTCTGTCTGCTCAGCAGCGCGTGGGAAGGATGCGCCGAGGGCCACACACCTTTCTGGGACTCGTGCTTCTCCGTCTTGCCCTGGTAATCAAAGCCCACCGCACTCTTGTCCACGCGGTCCGCCTGCACGCCATACTTGCCGCCAAAGCCACTCGAGTAGTCTGGGGAGACAGGGCAGGCGTTGGTCTATGTCTGACCATAAGCTAAACAGCATCTACTCCTAAGGCAAAGGTTTAGGGGGACAACTTGCACGCCTTCCAGCTGCACTGCTAAAAGAGAACGTGTCGCCTTGCTTCTGACTCACGGCGACCGTGGAGGCTCTCCCAGGCTACCGCCTTGACCGCAGCAGACCGTCATGTCCCTTCACCCTCAACACATGCCGAGTGGACGGCTCAGACCACTAGTCCCTTCAACTGGGCAAGGACAGTTCTTCCTCATTGGGAGAAATTAAGCTGCCTCCCCACTGTCCAAATACAAGCCAGCGCCTGTAACCAAGAAGGCTACACGACGGAACAGGCCCTAGACCTGCCACATGCAAACACCAAGCTCTCACACTCAAATGCTCCCACACAGACTTCTGTTCCCTGGATGATGAGGAAACGAGCTCGCCAAAACACAATGCGCTTTGAGACAGGGATACATTTTTGTTTCTAAAAAGCATTTCACAGACTGTTCTTGTTGCTAGGTGCCATCTTGTCAGCTCCGACTCATAGTGACCTCACCATGCCCAACAGAACAAACCCTGCCTGGTCCTGCCCACCCTCTCCACCACTGCATCCCAGCCCTGTTGCTGCCGCTGTACCATGTTGTTGAGGCTTGGAGTGCTCCCAACATGGCCACTTGGCCCGGGTTTCGGAGGCTGCAAAATCTGAGGGCCTTGCAGTCAGCAGCCCCTGGCATAACCCACAGGACAGGGCAGCTTTGGTCAGGACAGTAGGACTGAATAAATAATTCCACCACCAGTGACAATGAAAGCAGTGTGCTACTAAGGCCTGCAGGCGCGGTGCCAACCGCTGAACAGCGCTGACTCCAAACTTGAGGGAAAGTTGGTCTTTGCTGACAACGCGACTGGAGAGCCATCGGACAAAGTGGGCAGAGGAGACACCACTGTGGAGACGCCAGCAGAAAGGGCCAGGGATTCCCGAGTGCCACTGAGGGGGTTACATACATCCCAGGACACCAGAGCACCAGGATGCAGTCCCACCCCTTGGCATACACGCGGCGTGTGGAGGCATCAGAGCCTGGCTGCCCCCGGCTCCTCATCCTTCACTCCGTCCATCTCTGACATCTCACCTTTCTGGGAGGCATGCTTCTCGGTCTTCCCCTGGTATTCAAAGCCTACGGCGGACTGTGGGAAAAACAAAAAAAAACAAATACAAAACAATTACTCCAATGTCATAATAGCTAAGACATTTCTTTAAATGCTTTGATTTCTCAACGTCACATGCTGTGACATTTTAAATTTACATGCCATGAAGTGTTAGCCTGAGCACAGTGCACTGAGCAGGCCCCAGGCTGGATCCAGGCCAGGCCGTCCTCCTCAGACCCAGACCCAGCATGCTCAGCGGGTCTACTGCCATCCCTACAATAACAATACGGACGTAACTCCCTACTGGCCAAACAGGCTATACCGAACCAAAGCTAGCAAACGCCACCCTCAAGCTGATTCTGACTCACTGTGACCCCGGGCTTCTGAGTAAAAAGCAGCCAGCCTCATCGTTCGCCCTTGGGGTGGCTGATGGGTTTGAACCATTGGCATTGCTGTTGGCAGCTTAACGCCTAACCCACAGCGCCACCAAGGCGCTATAGAACACCATTAATAGCAGGGACGGGTACAGAAGTGGCTCCCTCAGCCCACTCTCACACCAGCTCGGCAGCTGCCTGAGTCTGCGCACAGTGGCGAGCACGGCCCCGAGCCAGTGAGAACCAGCGAGCAGGCAGGACGGCACCCGACCCCAGGCCCATCTGGGGAGCAGAGCGTGCAGAGTCCAGGAGCACGTGGCGGGAGGCTTCGTCCTCTAAACCCACGGACTGCGGCTCACAGCCACACGTAGGGCTGAGCAGAACCACCCCTCTCCACGTTGCCACCCTTACAGAAGCAGACTGCCACATCTGGGAGTGCTGAGTGGGTTCGAACCGCCTACGTGTACCTTAGCATGCAAGCACTTAACCACTGTGCCACTAAGGGCTTTACTTCACACCTGAAGTCCTGGTGTGTGACCCTGCCCACCCCACCCCTAGTCACAGTCAGCACTGCCTTCTCTGGGGGCATGTGGGTGTCAGCAGCGGTCCTCTCCCTGCCTCACTCACCTGATCGACTCTGTCCACCTGGACTCCGAACTTGCCTCCAAAGCCTCGGACGGCGTCGACCTGCGAGCAGTGCTTGGCCAGTTTCGACTGGTACTCGTGGCCAACAGCTGACTGGAAGGGGTTTCGAGGCAGACGTCACACATGGGGGAAGGCAGCAGTGACCCACAGTCCACTCTGTCCCCACCACCCAGCAGGTCCCTCTCAGAGGCCAATGCACCGGAAGGTCACTGGCACGTGCTGGTGTGGACTAGAGGCTGTGACGATGAGGAAGTCTGCAGTCGGGGGGCTTCCTGGATTTCCCTCCACCTCCCAACCACACAGGCGTGCTCCTCCGGCTCCCGAGAAGGCACTCACCTTGTCCATGCGGTCTTGCTCCACGCCGAACTTCCCTCCGTAGCCGTGGGAGGCCTTGGGGCCCGTCTCCAGTTCCCGCTCCTTGAGGCTCCGGTGCTCCTGAGACACATTCTCCCTCAGCTTGTGGAGGCTCAAAGACAAAGCGAGGGCCAGCCCATCAGTGCACGAAGGTTCCACCTCGTCTCCAACCCTTCTGCAGCTCCCGGTTCCGGTGACCGCCTCCACGTGGTGTGCATGAGGAGGAGTAGGGAAGCCCCCCGCCCCTAGAACAGCCACCCCAGGTGCCCCTCCTGTGCATCGGCTTAGAGCCCCAGGAACACTGGGCTGTGAGCACAGACCACAAGTGCCCACGTTCCCAGACAGGCCCCTAAAGCCCAGGAGCATGACGACCACCTGCCCAGGAGACCCCACAGGGCTATAGAAGCCCAGCCCAGGCCTTCAGTATCAGCAAAAGGACCCTTGTTGTTGTTGTTAAGTGCCTTCGAGTCTGTTCCAACCCATAGCGACCCTGTACAGGGTTTCCGAGGGTGTAAATCCTTATGGGAGTAGAAAGCCGCATCTTTCTCCCGCGGAGCGGCTGGTAGTTTCGAACCGCTGACCTTAAGGATCACAGCCCGATTCGTAACCACTACGCTACCAGAACTCCTTGGCGTGGACAAAAAGCAAACTGTGTTTCTAGAGCGGACAACACAGAGCGCTCGCTGCCCCTAACCACCACTATCCAATGACCTCGAGTCGATGCCAACCCGGAGTAAAGTAAACCTCAAGCAGGTAAAGCATCCGGCTGCTAACTGCAAGGTCAGCGGTTCAAACGCACGAGCCGCTCCTCAGGACAAAGTCTGCTTCCATAAAGGCTGCCCGCCTAGGAAACCCTCAGGGACAGTTCTCTGCCCTATGTTGTTGTTGTTAAGTGCTGTCAAGTCGGTTCCGACCCATAACGACCCTGAACAGGTAGCGACCCTGAACAGGGTTTCAGAGGCTGTAAATCTTTACGGGAGCAGAAAGCCTCATCTTTCTCCCGCGGAGCAGCTAGTAGTTTCGAACTGCTGACCTTGCGGTTCGCAGCCTGATTCATAACCACTACGCTACCAGAGCTCTGTCCTATAGGGGGACTAAAAGTAGAAGGCGACTTTTAGTGGGTGTGGCTTTGTGCACCTGAAAGAACAAAGTCAGTGGCTTCAATTGAGAAAAGCTGACAAAGACCAAGGTTTACTGGTAAGCACAGTTAACTGGTAAGAGTCCGGGATTTCTGAATTCCTACCAGGTGCCAGGAGCTCTGGCAGCACAATGGATGACAAGCAGGCTGCTAACCTCAAGGTCAGGAGTTCAAATCCACCAGTTACTCTGTGGTAGAACAATGAGGCTTTCTGCTCCCATAAAGATATACAGCCTCGGACATAGGATTTATAAGGTCGTCCCGATACAAGGTTGTTATGACCCGAAACTGAATCCATGGTTCACAACACCACCAGGTGCATGACAGGCCATTCAAATCCACCAGCCACTCCTTGGAAACCCTATACAGGATTGCTATACAGGGTCACTATGGATCAGAACCAACTCGATGGCACTAACCAACACCACCAGGTACCAAAAGGAGCCCGCCCTGGTGGTGCAGAGGTGAAAGCGCCCCGTGGGCAGCGATACTCTGTCCTGCAAGGTGGCCATGCGCCGGGACCACAGGCCCTCCAGAAGGGCTCCACTCCCCCGTGTTCTCCTCAAGATGGAGGCTGTCAGTACCAAAGACCCACCCTCCCCGACGTGTCTCCAAACCACTGGGAACACAGGTGAGCACAGGAGTGACTAGAGTGAAGTTAGCAGAGCCCCAGCGGGGGGTGGGGTGGGACAGACACACACACACACACAAGGGACAGACGCTGGCACTAGACACCCACAGGGCCGACTCCACCTTGCCTGGACCATCTCAGCGGAGCTCTTCCAGACAAGGACAATTCCTTTTACTGCGAAGACACTGTGGCTGCCTGGGCCACAGCTGGGGCTGGGGCGCAAACTCTGACCCGAGCAAGCCTAAAACGGAAGTCAGAGCCCACTGAACAATGACAGCAACAATGCATTCGGTCAGAGCGAGCCACCCAAGGGCAGAGAGCGAGTACCAAGTCAGATATGACGACACGCCGCACTCAGCTTTCCTGGGCCTTTGCAGACCACACAGCTTGTGGCGGCTCACAGGCCAGACGAGGACGCACACTGGCTTCCAGGCTGTCAAAACCAACGGCGAGGGAAGTGCTAAGGAACTGCTGTAGTTCAGAAACCTCCCTCGTCAAACAGGAGCTTGGACCACAGCAGCCCTAGATGAAAACTACACTATTCACACAATGAACATGAAAATCAAGGGCAGTGGGAACCACATCAGTGGGTATGCATCTGTACACATACACATATACTCACACACAAACACATCCGTGTACGCAGGAGCCCCGGAGACACAACATGCAACTCTGGTCTGTCAACACTCCTGGCAGCTCCACGGAAGGTGACAATCCAGGAGACATACACACACACACACACACACACTATATACATTACACACATACACCTGTCATGGTGCGGCGCTGCAGAATCAGCACTACTGCGCTACTAACCGCAGCTCGGTGGCTCAAACCCTACACAGGAAGTGACTCGACAGCATTGCACAACAACATGTACCTACACACACACACACACACACACACACAAAGGGTCACCGTGAGTCGGAACTGACTCAACAGCACCCAACAACACACACACAGAGTTCATGTCTGCCATCACCTACTGTATACACATCAGGCCACCAGACAGGCGGAGCCCCTGTCACATGGGGAGGCCCCCCGGGCAGGGAGAGGGGTCCGCGCCCTTGCTCTTCAGGGACAGCATGTTCTGTGGAGGATGGCGTGCCCCTTACTTGATGTGCTCCTGACGCCCCGAGCCCTGCACGGTCTTGGCTCCCCATCTCTGCTCTTTCTCACTCACGTCGTTCTGGAAAGAAAACCGAGTTGTAGACTCCGCACCGACCGGAACACCAGCAGCTAGCCCCCGCCCCCAGAGCTCACTCAGGGAAAACACAACACCGAGACAGGACATGCTTACCACAAAATCGGGGTCTGTTTCCCAGTCATCCGCACCTCCGTCGTCCTGGGGGATGGACACAGCGTGGCCGGCAGAGGCTTTCCACATCTGTAAGAGTGGCACCGAGGTCACGGGAGCCGGGGCACTTTCTGAACCAACACAGATTCCCTAAGTGGCCACAACTCTCAGAGGACATGGGCAGACTGGGGCACTCGGGGGGCACAGGGAGGTCTGGGGGACTTGTGACACAGAAAAGACCAGGGAACCAGACCCGGGTGCCGACGTTAGAATAAAATGAGCTGCGTTGTCCACACACGGTTGCCAACTGATCACCAAGACGCAGCATACATGCTGTCCAGCTACAGGTCCAGTGAGAAAATCTCCGGACAGAAAGACAGCAGTACGGCTCCACTCGGCGCAATTCTTCTGACAACGGTTCCCAAACCAAAAACCCCAAAAGGCACCCATTTGGATTTCAACTACAGACAGGCCTTGAGGGCGCTGCAGGCTCGATTCCAGAGCACCGCAATAAAGCGCTGGGGCCGTAAAGCGAGTCACACCAATTGGGGTTCCTAGTGCATACGTGACCAGCAGTCCAGGGGTAGTGCTGGCAATCAGTACCATAGACGGAGAATCAAGAGATCGGCAGTTCAAACCCAATAGCCACTCCTCCAAAACCCTGTACGGGTTTCACTATGAGTCAGAACCGACTTGATGGCACTGACCACCAACAATGGTGCCTACATCCGAGCTATTGACTACAGTCCATTCGCTGAGCTACTGCACGGTGGGACCGTGAGATCCAGGCAGACCAGGGAGCCAGAAGTGAGCACACAGTGCCGGAGACCCAGTGCTGGCAGACCTCTGCGCATGCACGGCTGCAACACCCCCAATGTGCACAAGCGCCAACATGGAGCGCAGTACCACGGGAGCTGCCTGCACTTAATGACAACACGAGGGTGGATTCCTTCACTGGGACCCTGGCCTCAGCGACTGTTCACGGCATGAGAAGCCTGTCCCACCAGGGGTATGGGGAATTATGCAGCATAGACAGTGTCCACTCCTACTGCTGGGCATGTTAACAAGGGGCGGTCAGCCTTCCTCCTGAATGAAGACAATGAGATCTGTCTGTCCGAGAAAAGCAGCCTGTCTGCTAAGTCAAGCACAGCTATCCTCTGTGAGTGCCTGGGCAGAACTCCAGCTTTAGGGAACAGATACGCTAGCACAACCTCGGAGGTGTCATCGGGCAGCCACATAAGGTCCCTCCAATGTTGGAGCTTCTCATTCTCTGGTGCCTAAAGACACACGGGGGTGGGGTGTTTGTGGCCAGAATGATGTGAGGATAGACACACACACACAGTCGCCCCCTCCAGCTCTGCCAGGTCTCAAGACCAAGTTCAAGGTGGCATTAGGTGCCGAAGACGAGTCAGCTCAGATTCACAGCAAGCCTACCTTCGTACAATAGAAAGTAACGAGTCTGACCCTGGACCGTCCACACAATCGCGGTCATGTGGGACCCACCCCATGGTTGAAGCCAATGTGCCAATCCATCTCGAGGACCTTCCTCTTCTTCGCTGACCCTCTCTCTATCAAGCATGCTATCCTTCTCCAGGGACTGGGTCTTCCTGGTAACATGTCCCAACTACACAAGATGAAGTCTCACTTCTAAGGAGCATTATGGCTACACCTCCTTCTAGACAGACTTGTTCATTCTCTAACCGTCTCTGGTATATTCAATAGTCTTTACTAACATCTTAATTTAAATGCTACAGTTCTTCTACAGTCTTCTTTATTCACCATCCAACTTTCACACGCATATGAGGCAACTGGAAATATCATAGCTTGGGGCCTTTAAGTGACATCTTTGTTTACACATACAGGTCTTTTGCAGCAGATTTGCCCAATGGAATATGGGATTTGATTTCTTGACGGCTGCTTCTGTGGTGGTTGATTGTGGACCCAAGCAGAAAGAAGTCTTTTCAGTGCGTATTACTGGTTCACTCCTGAGGATTTTTGTGCTATGTTGAGGGGTAATCCACACTGCAATCTTTTTTGGTCTTCATCAATAAGTACTTCAAGTCGTCTACACTTTCAGCCAGTTGAAAGTGGGTCACCAGAACACTGCAGGTTCTTAACACATCCTTCTCTAATCCTGAGGCTGAACTCCTCCTTCATACAATCCGGCGTCTCTAATAATTTGATCAGAATAAAGATGAAGTATGAAAACACATACTGAATAAGTATGGTAAAAGGACAGAACCATGTTTCAGCCAGCCTTTCCTGATTTTAGACCACACAGTGCCCCTTGTTCTGTCAAACTTGGGCTACAAATAGGTCCCCCACAGAAGCACAGTTAAGCCCCCCGGAATTCCTCATTCTTCAGCGTCTTCCATGATTCATCAGCATCCAAACCATCTGATGCTTTCTCATGGCCAATAAACAGAGCAGGGGTCTTTCTGGTACTCTCTACTCTCAGCCAAGATCCGTCTGACATCAGCAATGATGTCCCTTGTTCCACGTCCTCTCCTGAATCCACCTTGAATTTCTGACCATTTCCTGTTGATGTACTGCTGATACTGTTTCTGAAATTTAGCAAACTTCTATTTCATGTGGTATTAATGATATTGTTTGATAATTTCCACATTCTGCTGGATTGCCTTTGGAATGGGAACAAATACGGATCCCTTCTAGTCTGTTGGCCAGACAGCTGTCTTCCAACCTTGGCAGAGACAAGTGAGAGCTTCCAGCTCTGTCATGGTTAAACATCGATCGGTTCTTTTTGGTACACCAACTCTTGTGTATTCTTTCCATCTTCTTTTCATGCTTCCAATGTTGTTCAATATTTTTGCCCAAGGAATCCAATATTGCAACTGAAGGCTTGAATTTTTTCTTCAGTTCAGCTTGAGAAATGCCAAGTGAGTGCTTCCCTTTTGGTTTTCTGACTCCTGATCTTCACAAATTTCACTGTAAGATTTTACTTTGTCCACTCAAGCCGCCCTTTGGAACCTTCTGGTCAACTTGTGCTTTACCACTCCTTCATTTGCTTCAGCTGCGCTCCGTTCAAGAGCAAGTTTGAGTCTCTTCTGACATCCACTTTGGTCTTTTCTTTCTCTCCTGTCTTCAATGACCTTTCACTTTCTTCATGTATGATGTTCTCGATGTCACTCCACAACTCATCTGGTCTCGTCATTAGTGTTCAATGCGTCAAATCCGTTCTTCAGACGGTCTCTAGATTCAGGTGAGACAGACTTAAGATGATACTTGGGCTCTGGGAGACGTGTTTTCATTTTCTTCAGCTTCGCCTTGACATCTACACAGGAACAATTGGAAGGCCGCTGCACAGCTGGTCCCTGGCCTTGCTGACTGACGATCCAGAGCTTCTCTACTCACCTTTCCACAGAGGAAGTCCATGAGACTCCTGTGGGCCCCACCTGGTGAGGTCCACTCGCCTTTTATGTTGTTGAAAAAGGTGCTCCCAATGAATAGGCTGTTGGTCTTGCCAAATTCGATCACGTGAGCCCCAACATTACTGTTTCACCAAAGCCGTATTTTCCAATTGTTGTGTTGTGAAATGCCGTGGAATTGGTTCTGACCCATAACGACCCTGTGTAGGGTTCCGAGGAGCAGCTGGTGAGCTTGAACCACCGACCTTGCAGTACAAACGGCTTTGCAGTCTGGTGCAATTACCCACAGTGCCCCAATTACTGTTGTTGTTAAGTGCCATCAAGTTGATTCTGACCCATAGCGACCCTGTGTAGGGTTTCCAAGGAGCAGCTGGTGAGCTTGAACCACCAACCTTGTAGCTCAAATGGCTTTGCAACCCGGCACATTAACCCAGAGCGCCACACCACAGCGCCCCAATTAGGAAGAGGCAAATCAGGGTGTGGTGCCCTCAGATTCTGGATGAGACTCCTGCCACCCTAACCAGCAGTGGGGCGGGATCAGCACGTTTGCTTTGAGACGGCACACACCAGGAGCCCCACAGTCTAGAAACACCAGAGGAAAACTCCAGCTGGACTTTCCTCAGACAACCTGTTTCCGACCCGATTCCAGCAGGTGCTGCCCCCAGAGACCCAGACAGACAGACAGACAGACACGTGAGAAAACAGCCACACATCAGGCCTACCACCACCCCTCTGCCTCCCAGGTCAACCTGACCTGTCCTGCAGGAGTTCCCGTCAGCTGGACCCTGACTGTCTAGGGACAGATACAGAAAAGGCATCAGCAAGATGAACTGTAGCCCCCTCTTCAAAGGCAGATCCAGGGACAGAGGCAGGGTCCACTCCCCAGGTGTATTCTCCAGAATGCATTCCGGGCAGGTGAAGGGCATCTGTCTGCCTCCTAGCTCCGTGCATTGTGGGTCTCTTACCTCCTCAATTCCAGACTGTTCTGGAATGCCCACCTTCTTCACTTACCGGTAACACTTCAATCCGCATTTTTTTTAACAATGGCATGTCTTACATATGTTACAACATTTTTTTATCAATGGCATTTTCTTATGAATGGCATGTCTTACATATGTTAGAATATTTGAGAGGCACAGACCTTTCTTTATGGTTGAGAAGGAAAGGCTTGTTCACAAAGCTGTGTAAAATACGGTGGTCCAAGAAGGAATTTCCGGGCATTTGGGGATGATTCTGTCTGTAAAAAAGGAGGCAATGCAGAAAGTTCATTAGGCTGGCTGTCGGCAGGCCGTCTGGGCCGCCCCTCACCGGTGGAGAGCTTGTCCGAGTATTTCTACAGGCCTCTGAAATGAACTGTTCTGTAAAAAGATGTGAAAGAGAAAGCCTCCAAAAACATAGATTTCAAACACACTGAAACATGAAAGAAATATGATTGAGCCAAATCACAGTAAAAAATAAAAATAAAAACAAAGCTCAGGGGACAGGAGGGAAGGACGGATGGAGGGAAACGGGGAACCCAGGGAGGAAGTGGGAAGAGCACACTGTTAGTGGAGGGGACCGCACCCAATGTCCTGAAACAAAACATGTAGAAACTGCTGAAGGGGAAGTAATGTGCTCTGTTCACCGAAACCAGAATTCACATGTTCACATACAGTTACGTGTCAAAATTATGTCATGGAGTCTTGGTGTGGCGCTGTAGGGTAAGTACTCCACCACAAGGTCCGCTTGAACCGCAAAGTACAACATGACATAATGAAAAGATACAGAAATTGTCAATCATTAGCACAAATTTCCTATTAGCTGCAATCCTGATATGTTTGCAGTTTTTGGTCATTCTCATTGAGTGCACTGATAAGAAGACAAAATTCTACGACCATGAGTTTTTCAAAAGCAGTAATATTAGAACCCGGCACTCATCTGTCAGTGTGTCGTGCTGTGGTGGCTTGTGTGTCACTGGGACTCTGAACTCACAAGCTATGCCACCGGTACTTTAAATACCAGCAGGGTCACCCATGGTGGACAGGTTTCAGATGACCTTCCAGACGAAGACAGGACTCGGAAGAAGGAGAGACACACTGCTTCTGAATCTTTAGTCACTGAAAACCTTATGAATAGCAGAGAAACACTGTCAGATATTGATCCGGAAAATGAGCCCCTCAGGTCGGAAGGCACTATGTTTGGTAAGGTGGAGGGTGAGAAAAAGACCCCCAATGAGATGGATTGGCAAAGTGGCAGCATCAATGGGCTCAAGCGTGGCAACAATTGTGAGGTTGGCCCAGGACCGGCAGTGTTTTGTTCTGCTGTGCACAAGGTCGCTATGAGTGGGTACCGACTCGATGGCATATTAACAATAACAACATCAGCACACACAGTGATTCTGTAGGATAAGCACTGGACTGCAGGACCACAAGGTGAGCAGCTCAAGCCCACCAACCACTCACTCTGTTTCTGCAAAGATGCAGGCTTGGAAACCCTGTCCAGGGTACCTATGGAGTCCTGGTGTGGTGCTGCAGAAT